GGCAGAACGCAGGGTCGTACCGAGCCTAGCGACGAGCGGCGCAATTCGTAAAGTGGTTTGCGAGGCACAAACGATGGAGCTGGACTCAGGTGGGGTACTGTCCTGCGCTACGCACTCGTAGCTCAACAGAATTCCTCCAGGAGAACGCGGAGATAGAGAGAAGAAAAATTCCACTCCTATATCTTGCCCCGTTCGACTTGCCAACTACAAGTTATAAGAGCTCCGGGTCTTCTGCTTCTGTGCTTTATTAATGCAATCAAGCCATTAATCGACAATGCGTATGTTCCTGCGATGCTCCTTTTCTCCGAATCGTGATCTCCGGGTTTAGATACATGCCGCAGACCCATAATTCTCAATGCATGACGCAGGACCAACATTGACAGCCATTGAGCACCGACCACATACATGTAATACCGAAGGGAATGGCCTTAGTGCTCAGGGTCTCCATCGCTCATTCGGTAGGTGATTTTGTGCGATTATATATGGCTCGGTCTGAACCTGAATCTCAAGGTAGGTCAGGCGTCTTCGAAAAGGTCAGCAGATCTCAGGTTGCGTGCGCGATATCGATACGCGCAGCGTGTCCCCGTCCAGAGGAGCAGCCATACTCCATCAGGTCGATGCTGTTAGCTGTTGGTCGCACGCACATTGACCGAACCAAAGCACCGGGACGCAGCAAGGTGTATAAATCGCAGCTCCCGGCGTAGGATGGACCAGCACGCTCATAGTATCCTTTCTCCCCTTCTAGTATATCCTCATCGCTCATCCTGCGTCGCAATGAACATGCCTTACACGACGGCGGGCTCTATGGCGTCTGAGCCTGGTGGTAGTGGGACCGGTCTCCATAGTTCGGTACAAGGCGCGAACCCTGGCTATCAGCCCTAGGGACGTGGCCTCTTTCCACACCCGTATTCGCCGACACGCGGACACGCTGCACAGCAGCAGCAAGATTTCACGCCAGTCTACGCTACCAATGCCTCGAGCGCGAATCTCGGCCAGCTGGTCAACAGTCGGTTGTGAGTCTTCACGCCCCGTGCAGATCATGCCCCTAACGAAAAGCAGACAAGCCACCACACCCGACTGTCCCGAGCGAAGCCTTGAACAAGTTATGACACGCTTGGAATAGTATGCAGTGCCATCTTCCTCGAAAGACCCCATACTTATAATCATAGCATTGCGAACGTAGCACGCGAGCTGGCTGCGGAAGTAACTTCGCTACAAGGGTATATCCAGTACGTTACGAGTTATAGGCTAGCGATGCCTCATCTAACAAAAGCCAGGACGGGATCATTCAGAGCACAGTCGCAACCAAACCAACGGTGCGCAGGAGAGCCTAGGAACTAAAAGGATACTAGAAAGGCGGCGGAAAGTAGCTCCTTAGGTACGAAGCAGCGATTTAGGGGTCCTTCGTCCACGTTCACGGTATACGGCTCGCAGGAGGGCATGCTTTCCATAAGTGAAGCCGAGGTAGGAGACAAGGTAGCTATAGAAATATGATCAGTTCTAATGCTCTCGATGTCGGGTCAAGCGTGATAGCGGGCGCGAGTTTGCCTCCTGATCTCGATGGAGAAGGGGCCGTTCGCATGAGTATCTCACCGGGCATACAGCATATAATAAATCAATATTCGTGAAGCCTGGGCAGCACATCCATCACGAGAGAACGTTCAGAAACAATAAGAATAAGATTCAGCCCACGTATACTAACGCCTGGGAGTCCAGCTACCCGAATCAAAATAAATCAAAGACATACAAACTAATCAGCAAACGTAACCCCTATATCTCACTGTCTTACGTAAATAATTGCCCCCTGAATTGCAGCGTCGAAGCACTATCGGCGAGGTTAACCATCAGCAACCCAGATAGCTCGATTCGTCTAGCCGTCCTAGGCATCCTTGCCCTCGACCTCCACAGTGTCAAGCGCCAAGCCCGGAGATAGCGACCGAGACTCGCTCTTGCGTTATCTCAGTATCCATTGCTGGTGCCTTTCCGCAAGCTAGGCAGCGGTCTCAACAAAGGCGAAATCGGCGGAGTGGATCCTCTCCCCCTCCTCCACTAGCACGACATCCTCGTACTCAATGGTTCTTAGGGCTACTATCTTCGCTTGCCCACCAAATTAAGAATGCTTCTTCAACTTTCCTCGCCACTCCCAGGTCGTTGTTCTATCCTCCCACTGCACGCAGACGAACATCATAGGCGGCTTCTTTCGCGTACTTCCATTCTCTGCCGGCCAGTGCCTCTGGGCCAAGGCTTTAAGCAGGCCAAGATAATCATAATATGTCTTATACCCCACGAAACCGATAACTCGACGAATCCGTGGCTCCGAGCCCGATTCTCCAAGACGAAACACGTTCGCCTTCCCACTCTCAGAAAACTAATCATCAGCCATGCGGCCCATGTGGTAATATAGTGCATAGCGCGGACCATCTCGATAAATAGCATACCACTTGCCGAAGGGCCCCTTTATAGATATATCCAGCTTACTGTCGACTAGACTTATCACGGAGGTGATTCTTCCTATGTCGCCCAGCTCTTCTAGTTCGTCAGAACTATTATCGCCAGTATGCGCCTTCTTTCCAGTGTGTTCCGTTAGGAAAAGACCATCGTCTTCTTCGGCCTTGAACTGCGGCTCGGCAGCATTCGCATTGGATCCGGGGTTTTCTGATGCCTCGTCAGGTTGACCGAATCCACGCTCCTTAGGTGCCTCATTCGGCGCCGCGTCTTTCTTCTCTTCTTCCGGTGGCGCAGAGGTGCCGTCGTCATCTACTTCCATGCCTTCAGGGGCTTAGCGCTTACTAGTAGTATATTGCTAGTCTATCTCTTCCTTCTTCGCATCATCCGCTTTGTCGTATACCTCCTCGAGATATCCAAGAGCAGCCTGCGCGTTGGTAGAGCGTGTTTGCCTCGCGGTTTTGCTCACACCTTCGGAGGTCTTGCCAGGGTTGGTGGGCTTGTCACCTTGAGCACCCTTGTTTTTTTTCGGAGGAGCCATGGTTAATAACCTAGAGGAGTGAGAGATGGCTTGTCTCTAATAGTCTCGGTTTTATAGTGGCTCGCAAAGCGTCGACTGGCCGTTACATTGTGCACAATCAGGCGTTTTCTTTTTGGCAGCCTGTCACCATCTACTAGCCGCTCAGACTTGATACTCCCGAAAAGGTTCAATCCAATAGCGGTTATTGCATAGATACAGGCCGCAATTAGAAGCCTCCACAGTCCTTGGTGTCACTGATGGTCGAGTCCTATAATGAGCACATTTAGGCCTTATGTATAGAAGTAGACATACTTACTAGCGGAGAAAACCCTTTTCCACTTTCAGGATTGAGTGTAGAGTGCCGTGAGTAATGAAGGGCGAAAGCGGCTAGGGTCTTCCGATGTGCTTATGTAGCAAGCAAGTTAAAACGGGGGTGAGCGTGCTGCGACTTTCGAGTTTCCGTATCTACGACTGAAAGAGCTCCATGGCTCAAATTAACGGAGGACTTTCCCCCTCCGAGACAGAGCTTTAGCTATTCGGCACACGTCTGAATACGAATTAGTAGGATGACGTTTCCTGGCTGCCCTCCGACTATTGGACAGGCGAACCACAGCTCGATCATAACTCTCGCACGGTGCTTAGTATACAACCTACTTCAGACAGAGCGCCGGTATTATGTGAGTTCCTCAAGGATAACACCGCCACAGTCAGCAGTGAGACTGTTCGAAAGAGGTTCTATTGCAAAGTTTGGCGCTGCCCGAAAAGCTACTCGCGTGCAGAACATCTAAGAAGACACATCAATAAGGGGGTAGCCCTGTCTAGACCATCAGACACTAAAAGGACTAATGCCTGGCAGGAAACATAGTGCAAACCCACCCAGGTTTCCTTACACGCTATGCGGCCATTGTTTCAAGAGATTAGAGAACCTTCGCGCTCACCGCAGGCTGCATCGAGATGCCACCGGGGACGTGTGCCATTGATCGAGCATGGAACGTGTCGTTGTGCTAGAGGGTAGAGCAAGCTCTCGTGACGGAGGGGATGCCCGCCTAGAGAATGCCACGCTCACCATACATACTTTAAAAAGTCTATCAAAATAGTTTGGATGCTACAAAACGCTTGCTACATCAGTCGAGCATCGTCCATACATAGGTAATTGGGACGAGGCGGCAAGCATGTTTGATTCTCCTTCAGATACACCTAAACCCACTTATACCATTGTTAAGCATAGCAGCTTTGCTGGAGTTGCCGGGACGCGAATGCAGCCGGATCTCAGATTCAATTCTTCCAACAGTATGTCGTATAATAGGCATACCTCCCGCAGGACGTGCCCCGCGAGCCTGCCCAGAGCCAGCGTTCGCAGTAACGTACGATTCTAACTAGGAAATCGCTGTCTGTCTAGAGTACGTTTCGGGTTTCTCTTCTTGCCGTGGCACAATAACGGATAGGAAGAATGCGTAGTGAGATTTAGCGTGTTTGCAATCATTCGGCGACTCTAGCCACTAGTTCTTCAACGACGTCAAAAGATACCCGCCCAGCTCATCTACACGTCCTTAACCTTATAGAGCAGAACTAGCTCTGCTGAAATCGTTTCCGCTACGGTCTGAGACGGGGACCGCCGGGTCGGGGACGCCCCAGCTAGAGCGACAGCGCCGAACATCACGAACAAAGTCTGCGTTTCTTATTCGCATTGAGCTCCGGATCCGGCGTGCTCGCCAGTATGCCCTCGATATACTCCTTCAATAGCTGCAATACATCTTGCGTGCTCTAGTAGGATAAGGCCAAGTCTTGCGCGTCAGCCCAGGCCAGACTCAACAGAGCGTTCTACGCGTCGATCGTCTCGTCTCGCTACCTAACCTCCTCGGTCTTCTCTCTCAAGGCATCGATGGCCAGCTCCCGGTCAAAGTCGACGACCTAACGCTTATGCACCTCTTCGTCGACCTTTTCGCGGAGCTCCTGCACGGCTCGCTCAAGCTCAGCATAGCGGAGACGCTAGTCTCGGTAGTCCGTCCCAAGCGGAGACGGACACTGATCAAAGCCGCTAGCATCGGCTATATTGACGTCGGAGAGTGCTATGCAGGCCCAGGTGTCCATTTCTACTCGACCGGCCGCTCTTAAGCACTTGCCCTGCAACAGCTAGCTAGGAAACTCTTACACTCTTATACTCGACCGCATCGTCGGATATCGACGTTCAGTACAGGCCACGAAGCGCGTCTTTAGCACCTTATAGCCCACGTCAATCGCTCTACGGGCCATTATCGGGCTGGCCGAGTACGCAAGCTAGGTCAAGTCAGGACGGCGACGACGGACAAAAGCGGTTATCAGCAATATATAAAACGCCAATCAGCACCCCTAACGACACCAGCATATACAATTCAATAAGCGCATGCAAACACACGCAATAGACAAAGCTACGGCAGGAAAGTGGGAGGGTAATACTGGCTGTCTCAGACAAGCCTCAGCGATTGCTCGAACAAGTTCGCGATCCAGAAGAACCACATGGCATCGCGGTGCTAATCGGAAACTACACAAAGTCCCTCTTTCTCAACAACATATGTCCAGGGAGCAGGCACCCTAGCAATGCGAGATACCACGGTGAGATCCATCTACATATCTCGCATGCCCGTGCCACTCAGCCGGTCCTCGTCGCCGATGGGGACCTGCCCGTCCACAATCGGCTACCCTCGGCACCAAGATCATATCGGTGCCACGAAACCGACGAGGACTACTTGCCTACAGATATGCACCACGCGGTCCCGGCAGCCGACGAAGTCTACCAGAGATTCGTCTTTCCCTTTATCGATATGGCATGTCTATTCGTTACTAACATTAGCGGGCCTGACCGCGCCATAGAGTGCCTAGCCTCTTGGGCTGCGAGGGAGCGGTCACCAACCTCGCCTATCCGCCCGGTGTTAATCGTCGTGGTGCCGAGGGAGCACAGCCAACGGATGCGTGTTAAAGTAGCTCGCATAGGCCAGCCGGCTGGCCCTGCATCGCTAACTCGTCATTTTCAGTCCATCACCATCGTGACATTCTCACCAACCCAACGCGGGATGTGGCAGAGAAAGCAATTAGGAACTCTTCGTCAGAAACTCTACCAGGCCATCCGAGTAGTCCATCGCGAGCGACGCGACAGGAGCTTTCTCTTCTCCGCTCGCCATACCGTCGCATTCCTCCAAGCGGCGTCACGGGACCTAGGTAGGTCGCCACGGTCGCCGGTAGACTTGATCCAGATGGCGCGAGCGGCCAATCCCATTGCTTCCGATCTAGCAACCCACCTAGTAAACTTCTTCCGCGGACATAATAACGACACGCTAGAGTCCTGCGCCATTCCCACAGCCGCCTCGAGCCTCTTGCTAGACCAGTACCCACCTAGGATACACCGTACGCCTTACCTACTAGGAGCGCACTGGCCAAGTAACTGACAAGCTCCCTAGATTTCCATCCCCAGGACGTGTTTCGTTCCTTGTACCGTGATGCCTGCGCCCAAGCCACCCTTGAGCTAGAAGAGATTCGAGCAGCAACTGCGATACCGCCGCTACCATTCGACCTCAGTCGGTCGCTGGAGCGTAGCATGACGGAACTATTCCCCCAGCTCCAGCAGCTCGATTCGGCAAGAGATACCCATCGACATCAGTTGACGAGTGTGCAACTACACCAGCGGCTTCCGTCCTCGGAAAGCACCTACTTTGTTTGTGTTCGACGTAGACCCCAATATTGCCTGCCCTGTCGGCACTGGATATGCCAGATATATGTCTGCACCTTTGCCCGCCTTAATGCGGGCGATCCGTATCTATTCCATGCGGACGAGTATCTACTATACGGCGCAACGGCTGGTCCCTGCATCCGCGTCCGACCAGCCACCGCGACCACACGCATCCTAAGCATTAATAGGGGCGGCACAAGGGGTCGCGCTCCCCTCGAGTTCCTTAACGTCCTACAGGAAGCCATCGGCCTGCCCTACCCCGTCTAATAGAACTTTGACGTCGTCTTCGGCACCAGCTCAGGTACATATGCCCTTGGACTCCTACGGACCAGCTAGCTTATCTTCACAGGGGCCCTTATCGCATGCGCGCTATGCATCAACGGCTGGCCCGTGGACCAATGCATTAAGTACTTTGAAACGTCGTCCAAGCTCGCGTTCGAGGAATCTCGCTACTCCCGCATCGTGCGGTCGCTCTTCCACGCCGCACCCTTTGTGGCGCCTGCTATCGAGCTCGTCAAGTCCTTGCTTATCGACTACAAGTACGCCGCCGACCAGCTCGAAGCCATTCAACAGGAGGCATATGGCGCCCGTCGAAGCATTATTAATTCCGCTAAAGCGAGCCGCGCGGGGACCCTAGTAGGCGTAACACTAACGAGCGCACAGGACAGCAACACTTTTATCGTGACCAACTACAACGCAGAGAATCATAAGAATCAGGGTACTTTCCATCCCGCTAGCGTTTTCAGATAGCTGACACCAGACAGACTATGAAGTCCTCCGATTCGACCAGGGAGTCGCCGCAGCGCCTCTGTGGGAAATATTCGTGGCGTCCGGGTCCCTGTCGAGTGCTTACGTGCTGACTTGAACAGTCTCCGTTGCTGCACTGCAGCGCCATAGTAAGTGTCGGGTTAGAGATCCTTATTCACATACTAAGTATGGCCGTCAGTTACTTCACGGCCCACCATATCCAAGGCGCCGGCACATTCCAGGATAGGGGCCTCGGGTACAACAACCCAGCCCCCATTGCCATCAAGGAGGCGGCAATTCTTTTCCCAGCGGCGCCTAAGCCAAGCACCGTCGTCTCGCTAGGGACGGGTTCCGCTGGCTCCCGTACCACGGCGAGCGCGGGGATCGCTACGATGTGGGAGGATTCGTTCCCTACGCGACTATATCGGGCTTTTTAGAAGCAAGGAAACGCCGGCACGGCGTGGAAAAACCTAGTGAGCCAAGAGGAGGACAAAAGCCATGGCGCCTATTTTCGGTTCGACATGGAGTACGACGGGATACAGCCAGCGTTAGACGACGTGACCAGCATGCCGCACGTCGCGCAGATAGCACGTGACAGCGTGCTTGGTTCGCCGCAGATGGAGCGCCTGGCGCGACGCGTGCGTGCTGAGCTATTCTACTTTGAGCTAGCCGCCACGCCGCGTCTGGTGAAGGGTGCATACCACTGCACAGGGTATATCCTCTGCCGCCATCGCGCAGGAAACGAGCAGTTCGACGTGTTCATGCAGCAGCTGACAGGGCGCTCAGCCTTCCACTGCTTGGAGTGGACCACCCCGGATACGTCTGTGTCAGCCGCCCACAGGGACGGCGGGGGTAGTTTTCGCCTAGCTGTCGAGCTACGCGTGTTAAAGCGGACAACGCCATGTCGCATCACGCTCCAGGAGGGGCCATCGTCCTTTCCTTACGACATCAGCGGCTCCCCATTCACACTCGATTGGCTCATGGAGCAACAGAAGCTCGGTGTGAGTTTTAGTCGGGCTAACCATCGGTAGCTGTCAGGGTGTGCTATTCATTCAGTAGAGCTTGCGGCTATGAATTGCATGAATTCACCATCTGTCCGAAGGGTGAATATTTCGTGTCTAAGCTGAAGCTATTCCTTTCGCTTTGCCTCCTGGAAATCTAATCTTGGCTGAATCATTGTCGAAGACTACCCTGCAGTTGAGCTCGGCCCAGGCGGATGATCGGTGCGAATCTACTGTGTAGTCACGTAGTCAAGTGGCAAAAACGCTAAATGCTACAGAGACCACCCGTGTGGATACATGGATTCCATTTCCGCCATAAGCTTGTATCAAAGAGATTGCTGATCACCGTGTGGTGCCCCTGTATCAAACACCGCCAATACGTTTGCCCACGACTGACCTTTTCGGACTCTGATCTTCCGGCTGAAGGACTCTTCATCATCGCGACCAACGCATTCCTAGGCGCAGCGTGCGCCTAGGGGCTCCTTGTTAGCATCCGCTGCGGGCGCGTTGCCATTTCGTGGCTGCATCAACGTTCCATCGCGGACTGGGGGTGGCCACTGACGTTGCTGATATGTATCAACCGCGACTGGCCGTGGCACTAGTCAGCGGCGCCACTTCTGCAGTGTTCCATCCTGCCAACAAAGCTACGTGCGCGCAGAGCATCTCAGGAGGCATATAAATGAGGGAGTGACCTGCTTAGCGTACATAAGGGTGACCTGGCAGGGTGCAGAAACTTATTGCCACTGACTGTAGGGCATCTTCAATCTACAGCTATCGTTAGCAAACGTGCACACGTCACAGCCGATAGGGCACCCCCTAGGCGATTGAGATTGAGATGCCACCTCGATATAGTAAATCTTTTCATTTCTTAATGTCAAATGTTTAGTTGGTAAGGACAGGAACCCGCTAACGGTCGGCCGAGCTTAAACTCCAGCGGAGAACTCCATACAGCGGCCGAAAGCTCACAGTGATAAGCAGTCAATGTATGCCTCCACGTCCTGGTAAATGCCACAAGAGGCCGTGGTCATCACTGTAACCGGTCACATCAGCATGCTGCCAGTTGTCACACTCTTCGTCAATCAGGGGATACCACTTACAGGCTATAATCGCCAGTCATATCAGCATGCTGCCAGTCATCACACTCTTCGTCCATCAGGGGATACCACTTACTTTCTATAATCGCCAGCCACATCAGCATGCTGCCAGTTATCACACTCTTCATCCATCAGGGATACCACTTACTTTCTATAATCGCCAGCCACATCAGCATACTGCCAGTCATCACACTCTTCGTCCATCAGGGGATACCACTTACTTCCTATAATCGCCAGTCATATCAGCATACTGCTAGATATCACACTCTCCGTCAATCAGGGGATACCACTGACTTCCTATAATCGCCAGTCACATCAGCATACTGCCAGTTATCACACTCTTCGTCAATCAGGGGATACCACTTACATTCTATAATCGCCAGTCATATCAGCATACTGCTAGATATCCTCTTCGTCAATCAGGGGATACCACTTACAGGCTATAATCGCCAGTCATATCAGCATGCTGCCAGTCATCACACTCTTCGTCAATCAGGGGATACCACTTACTTCCTATAATCGCCAGTCACATCAGTATGCCCGCCAGTAATGAGATTTATAAGGTTAAGAAAATATGAAAACCCTACTAGCCCGGGATTTACTAGATCCCCGCTGAACTTGTTACTTACTCGCTTTATAACGCCTGGTTGTTCCACTGGCCTCGCAATAGCTACCGCAGCGAACATCATAGCAAGAGGGAGGGAGAACTTCATCGTGACGGCGGGGTAGTAGTAATCAAGAAGTATTGGTAACGACAAGTTGCTGTAAATAAAATCCCTCAAAAAGCAGCGGACGTCAATCTGTGTTGTTGAATGATAAAGGAAGATAGTGTTGCAAAATCCAATATTACTCCTGAGCGAATGCTGCGACTTTTAAGCATTCTTAGGGTCAGTGGCTAGGGCTCTAGTACATAAGTATGAAGATCAACCAATGCCGGGCCATAAAGTTGTCTTATAACGGGGTCCGGCTGATCTTTGCCACGTCAAGTCAATTTGATCATATTCTGCATACGTGGCTAACTCAAGGGCTCCGAATCAGCCAATCCCAAAGCCGCCAATGTCTTTGCTATGCCTATATTAGCATACCTTAGTGGGTCCTTCTAATCATACGCAAATTGTGTTTCACTCAGCCTCCCTAGAAGAGGGAAGCAGCACAGCCAGTCACAATTTGAGGCCTGTGTACTCGGTCCTGTACGCAGGTGAGCCTCAAACTAGGCACTCCAAACCCGTTGCTAGCATTAACAGGGTAAGGAACCGGCATCTTGAAGGTTCGGACACCCCATGTGGGGAGCTACATAGCATAAACGAAACGATCAGATGCCATACGCGCTCTGTAAATATTGGTTGGCGATGATCAGCGAGGCTAAGTTGGGGGCGGAGGAGATAGGCCAGGGGTATCAACCGGGGTAGAAATTGAGAGATGATCAAACGAAGCTAAGTTGAGGGTGGAGGAGACACTTCAGGGGCCCTGGCTAGAGTAAAGCTAGAAGAGGAGAAGATCGGCCAAGCCAATTGAAGTGTAGAGGAGACATACTGGGCCTCCCAGTAAGAACCTAGTCAGAAGTGGACGTAGCCCACCAGCCTTATTGGTATATTGGAGAGGTCCCAGCCCCCTTGGCAAGAACCCAGTCAAAAATGGATGCAATCGCCAGCACTTCTTCTTAGCGGGGTGTGGAAGTCCAGGTGCCCTGGCAATAACTCGGTCAAAAGTGGATATAGTCGACAGCGCTATTCAGGGGTCCCTGGAGCTCTTCACTACACCAAAAGGACGGCTGTCGATTTCATCCACTTCCGACTGGGTTCTTGCCATGGGGCCTTGGACAACTCCACTACACCAACAAGGAGTCTCTTGGGCCATGTCCACTTCTGACGAGGCTCTTGCTAGGGGCCCTTGGACCTCACGCCGCCAAGAAGGAGTCTGGTTGACTACATCCATTTCTGACTAGGTTCTTGCCATGGGCCGTTGAACTTCCCCACTCACCAAGACCAAGCGTAGTCGATCACCCCCACTTTCAGGGTATACTCTGAGCCAATGAATCACAAGAGAACAATCTGCATATCCTTATCCTTTATCTGAGCAAGAAGGTTCCGGTTAGCCGCGCTCTCCTCGATAATCTTGGTTTCGAGGGCGGCTGTTTTCTCGTCCAGTGTGGTTATGTGATCGGTGAGGTTCGTAATCTGGGTGTCTTGGGATTCCATGTAGGCGTATGCCTGTTGACAGAAGTGAAACCATTCAGAAGGGTTGCTAGCTACGGCATCTGCGAAGGCGCGCGTATCCTGGGGTGACTCTGGAGGAGTCGGGCGGGAGGTCATCGTGTTCAGCGTCCTATGGGTAGGAGCTACGTAATGTCAGGGGCGGTCGATCGGCAGGTAGGACGGGGAACACTCGGTTAGGCTGATCTGGTCTATTGCTACGGATAGGCACTCCTCAGGTAGGGCAGGCTCTATGTACAAGACGTAGCTCGAAGAGCTACAACAGAAGACGGTCGGGATCGCGACAAAATGCAAGGGCAGGCGCGAGTTCACGTGACTGCAGGTGCAGGGGTGGGTCCCCGCTCTTGACCAGCTGTGACACCCAATTTGAACAGGCTGAACGAGACCACTTACAAAGTCATAGGGAAATGGGGTCCTGGATCGAGATAGATCGAGATGACCCTAGAACCCTAGGGAAACCGTCTCTCTTAGACTGTATGTGGGTCTATGTCTATAAGCTTGATAAGCATGGTCGATTCATTAAGTGTAAAGCCCGGCTAGTTGTTCGAGGAGACCAACAGCCGAAAGGGCTAGACGAAGAGACCTACGCCGCAACCTTAGCTGGAAGGTCATTCCGGACCCTGATAGCAATTGCTGCCCGGTTTGACCTGGATCTCATACAGTATGACGCAGTCAACGCCTTCGTCAACGCAAGGCTAGACCATCAAATCCTGATGAGGATGCCCCCTGGATACAAAAAGGCAGGAAAGATCCTACTGATCCAGAATATATGGTAACTGTAATCCACCTAAAATTGTATATCAACATTAAATTATCGTCCTGCTCTAAGAGGCCACTGCTCGAACGGAGTAAGAAGCATATCAGCCTCGGGGTTGGCTTGGTCTGCCTCATATGATTGTGAGCAGCGAAGGTTGCATCAGGATGCCCCAGGCCCGCTCCACAACTCTGCTGCCGATCGTCTTTGACGAGACCTCCGATGGCTTTGCGACCTGGCGAAGTTATGGCGGACTAAATAAGAGGAGGGCTTTGAGACCTTGCGGCGCTTGCGACTTTGGGGGGCATCATCATCATCCGAGCTGGAGTCATCACCAGATGGGAGCAGACGAGAGATCCCCCCGCGCCGAGGCCGCAGCTCGCCGAGCCCTAGTTGTCTGTGTCATTGTCCTTAGACTGCATCTTTTCATGCGGCAGAAAGAAACGGCGACGCTAATGTAGACTATACTTCGGCTTCGGCTCCGGAACTAGCCTTCATAATCGCGGACGTGATAAGGGTAGACGCGCATGCTGCACCATCCAAGCCTCTACCTTCGTACGGTCGAGGCGAGAACGGTGCGGGAGATGTGGTGCAGGCTCCAGGAATAGCATCGTCACCCAATTTCCAGGCAAGAATTTTGGTTTCTTGGACTGACGCTTGGACATCCTCGGCGAGGCTGGCAGCCCGTGGAGGATGTACGCAAGCAGGGGGGTCAGTTCGGCGTCGGAGATGCTTGCTCCTGAGCCACATGGAAATGACGTACCCCACAACCTGCGTGCCACAACCTGCGTGCCACAACCTGCGTGCCACAACCTGCGTGCGTGCCACAACCTGCGTCGCGACTTCGCTCTGATCCTTCGGACGCCAGAGATTTTCATTCCTCAGTCCATCGATTCTTGCAGAATATGGTCGAGCCTCGCGAACCGTGGTCGAGACAGGATGTCCTGGCTTTACTGCAGCTCATCCACATGGTCCTTCTGCCCCTGATCGCGCCTCTTCTTGGCGTGATCGGAAATCTTCGAAATCGCCACATGCAAGATTGACTCGGCGTGGGTGCACCTGAAATGCTACTGCCTAGCGCTTTTTGGGGTATCGTGCTAATGCATTGGACGTAGCTCGTTGTGGCCGCCTTCGTGCCTCACCGATCAGACCTCGTTGCCGATTAGTGTCGTTGCGATGACGGACTGAACGTGGCGTCGGCGGTGAGGAGGGCAAGTTTGCGGACGGCGTGGGAGAAGACGAAGTCGCCGACTGCGATAAAGGCTGTAAGCGTGCCACTGGAGGGGCAGTGAAGGAGGGGCTCACCACATCATCAGCATCCTCTGCGACGAGGCTGTAGGCCTCCTCCATGTACTCGCGCGGAGTCTTCAGGCTGGTCCGCTTCATCGTGGCATGTGGTGCTTCGAAAGCTCCTGCTATGACGTGGAAAATGGCGGTTGAAAGCTGAGGGCGGGGAGCTGTTTGCGGTCAAGCTGGAGTCGAGTCGGTATGACGCCTGAAGCGCCGCGCACACGCTGGGCTGCATAGTGCCGGTGCGGGAACGTGCCGATGCCAGTTGCTGTGGAAGTCTGTCGGCGAATGTAGCGTGCCGCGATGTGTGTTTTGCCGAACTAGAAAACTCCACCGTTATGTAAGCAAGACGCCCACCACCGGGGCACCGCTCCACCTAAGCCAGCTGCGCCAAGTGTACCGTCGTCGCTTGTGTGTATATTGCAGGGAATAGCTAGAAAAGAAGCTAAAATGTTTGCAAACGTGTCTGAAGCATATGATGCATGCAACTTTGGAGGCCTTCGCCGAATAACATTCCAGACGCCGAACGAGGCAGCAGGTCGTCATCTTGGGACTCCTCCGAAAAATCGATCTGCATCCTTTCGATATGTTCAGAAAGAAGGCCGTAAAATTCTATCCCTTTCTCGGTATTGCGTAGTTCTTCTTCGATCTGACAACGGGTCGCCGCATCCGAGCTCGAGTTGGCTATTGCGTGCTGCGCCATAGCCTCAAGTTGCCACCATCTGCACCAAGGAGCCTGACCACCGCCTCGTGTCCAGCCGCAGCGGAGAGCAACAGAGGAGTTCGATCACACTCGTCCACCAGCTCCGTAGCAATGCCTCTCGCTTCAAGCAACGTCTTGACTACCGTGGCATGGCCATTCTGTGCTGCTAGGTGGAGCAGAGTTGATCCAGTCGAAACATTGACGTCCCTAGCAAGCACCAACTCCACTTTGGTAGAGATGCCGGGTTCTTTCAATAACAGTGATGCATGACCAGATTTGATCGCTTCGACCTGGGCACCTTTAAGGTTATCAAGTGCATTGGCTACATCGACCAGCGTGATGCCGTCCGGGTTTATCGAAGGTAGGAAGGAGCCAACAAAAGCAAGTCCCGGGTCGTCGTCCATAGGAAACAAGAGCCTCGCAATCTCCTTGCTATCAAACCATAGCCCTCTACGGCACGAAGAGCTTTTACAATCAGCAGCAACAGCGGCTCCGGTCGCAACAGAGGCACCGGCAGCAACAGAGGCACCGGCAGCAACAGAGGCACCGGCAGCAACAGAGGCACCGGCAGCAACAGAGGCACTACGATATGATGATCCGCGGCTATCTATCAGAGATATGTATCAGCAAGGGAAGCTTGGTATAAGGCGCAGCCTCGTGGCAGCCTCAAGACTAACCAGGTATATCGGAAGGCGATGGGACTTCCTTCACGATACAATAAAGCTGACTATGAATGGTGAGGCGTCCAGATCGAGACAGTGGACAAGGAGGGCCTTAAGTCAAGCTTCAGAAGAAAAGCAAACCAGGAAGAAGAAGTTCAAAGCCTTGGTATCCTGTCTCCAACCATCAATATGGCGCTGAGCTTCTCCAATTCTTGCAAGAACTGCTATTAATACAAATAAAGACGCTAACCAAATTCAATCAACTACCGCCCCGTCACTTCTGCTCCATACCCGCCCTCCAACGTCGCATGAACACTTTCCATTGAGCCCAACAGGACTTCCATTCAGTCATTGAATCAACAGCGGCATGTGCAGCCATGACATACTCATAACGTTCCTGGATCTGCCGCGCAGTGAACCTCACCCTATTGATCCTCCATACACAGGAGAGCTGATAAAACATAGTGATGCTATAGCAGATGCGCCAGTCAGCGATGGTATATCCCCACAAAAAGAAGAAGAAAAAAAGGAAGCATCAGCCTTAAATGCTATCAAGATGGGACCACTTACAATATTGCGATCGAGATGCAGAAGCTCAATACGCACATATCGAATGTCGCGCTGCGGTCACTCATACAGGGACGGCGGTGGCCACCCTTGTGACGACACATTCCACCACTCGGGTGCTTCTCTTTCCTGAACTCATATGCCATGACCATCATGACAATGCTGAGGGCCAAAGCGACGATGTTCAAGACCACAAGGCCAATAAATTGGACCAGCCATACTGTGGGTGGCCTTGGATTGGTCGCCGAATGGGGCCGCTTCAGCAACGGCGAAACCGTAACCAAATGTATGCATGCCTTCGAGAGCGAAAGCAGTCAGACAGTTAGCTCGTCGTCATCTAAAGCAACGCACACTGCCGAGGTTGACTAAATCTTCCAGGGTCAGGGACTCACGCAGACCACAATGAAAATAGCAAAGGGTTTAAGAGAAGGGATCGAGTCAATATCAACAATCCGCGCCGAGGCGCTGAGCAGGACAATCGACAAGAGCCAACGCAGGCTTCCCCACAGGCCAATCGAGGAGTAATACTCGTCTAATTGTGATCGCGCGATGTCGTCGGCATCTTCAACTTCACAACCTGCGGCTGGTGATAGTCGTAGCGTTTCAGCTGGGTCCAATGTCATTGCCGGTTGTGGAATGTGTGGAGGAGGAGCTTCGTTGCGGTCATCGCCGATAACCTCGTATCGCGCCATGATGACCGTGCCCATTGCTGGTGTTTTCCTGTGATGATTTTGGAAGGTTTGGACTCAGATCGCCTTAAAACAATGGGATTGAAACTCAGGGGGTAGATGGGTTTAATTAGGCTCTTCCCCCTGCTTGTGCGAACCCTACCGTACATAGTAGTTACTCGAGAAATTTGGACAGCTTGGCAGCAGGGGATCTGAAACATCCCTACACCACCAAACTTGTATAGGAAGGTCATATCCACATCGCTTCTCAGCCCAACTCAGCCGCAGTATCAACAATCGTACCTTTTTGGAGCCTTTGATGAAACTGATGTTCCTACCTCCGTAGAACATCGAAGGATCGCCCTGCCTGAGGAACAGCCTCAAAACCCTACCAAAGACCATCAATTCGGGAAGCTTTGAATGGGTTCCACATCCTGAAGCCAACGGCCGCTGAGTGGGGGAGAGGCCGAAGGTGGAAGGTGGATATTGCTGAGGATGGTCTGGTGCCCGCTGTTAAACGCGTGTCGACGCGTCAGGAATAATTAGGCAGGCGGTCAGTTCTGGCTGAATAACCCTAAGTGGACGACATCTCTCTCGGAAACGGGAAAACTATTTGCCGACTATCGTACTCTGGATGATTTCTTGAGGGTGCCTATGCTTGATCACGTGAAAATGTGTTCCTGTTCGGTCGTAACCCGCCCGTCGATCGAGCGGGATTTCAAAGTTGAGCGTTGGTATCAAAAAGCGGGTGGTCAGGGGCAAACCAGATGACAGGATCTGGAGTCCCAATTGCCAGTCGAAGACAGCCTTGTCAGGCTGGTCCTGGGCCAGGACGACAGTAATTGTGAGCCACACCTCATTGGGCCGAGTGCCTCAGCGCCTCCAGGCGCCCATGTTGGCCTGTCACTCTGATCAGCCAATCAAGCTCAAATCAAGCTTTCCACGCTTGTCCATCCAGCATTGACGCGCCCCTACCGCAACCCCGCGGCGAAATCCACTAGTCTCCAGGCACCCATGTAGTCGAAGGCGACCCAAGATGCTCCTGACGAAGTGTTACTTGACGTTCGATCCGTTTGAGACTCCATGGTCTCCATGGCCAAATCGGGCATTATCCATTGAGGCAATGCCAAATCGGGCTGGAGGATGCCTGGAGGCAACACGCGGATGACCAAGTCTGTGCTTCAAGCAAGCCGTATGCGGGCTCCCGAGCCGGCAGGTACAAATAGCTTTCACTCATGGCGGGGGCGTCAAAGGCGACCTGGCGGCGCTTGGAGTCGCATCCCACCATGGCCAACGTTCTTTCAACATGAAGCCGATTTCCCTCATCCACGCTATTCTTCTCGGCGCAACGGTAGCCTCAAGCTCCATCATTCCTCGCGCCTCTGAACGATCATCATCGTCAAAGGAGCCAGAAGATCCGATCATTCTCCTGAGCAAAGACGAAAGCTTTCATTTCGACTTGCTCTTCACCCTCGGGAACGCCATATTCGGTGCCGGCGACGTCAACGATGTCTTGGCCGCAGCGAAATACATCAAGGCTGGGAACTTCACCAACTGGCTTGAGTACATGCACGCTTTGGCCGAGGATACCAAGAAGCAAGCCGAGGATCCGGACAATGCGTACGATCTGTTGAACGATCGGGAAGCCTGGTTTGCCGCGTCGAGTTATTATCGTCAAGCCGACTTCCTTGACCCAGCCTGCTTTCTCGGCCAGCCCGATAATGGCCCGCAGAGCGATTGACGTGGGCCATAAGGTGCCAAAGACGCGCTTCTTGGCCTGTACTGAACGTCAATATCCGACGATGCGGTCGAGTATAAGAGCGCAAGAGTTTCCCAGCCAGCTGTTGCAGGGCAAGTGCTCAAGAGCGGCCGGTCGATCAGAGATGGACACCTGGGCCTGCACAGCACTCTCCGACGTCAACATAGCCGATGCCAGCGGTTTTGATCAGTGTCCGTCTCCGCTTGGGACCGACTACCGAGACCAGCGTCTCCGCAATGCTGAGCTTGAGCGAGCCGTGCAGGAGCTCCGCGAAAAGGTCGACGAAGAGGTGCATAAGCGTCAGGTCGTCGACTTTGACCGGGAGCTGGCCATCGATGCCTTGAGAGAGAAACCGCGCACGTGACGCTAATCCAAGCCAATCGAAGCTGGGTGTCAGAGCATTGAACGACACGATACAGCGGTGGAATCGCATTCCGATAAAGTTGAGAGGTGCGGCATCGTTGATTCAGTCCCTGTCGCTCAACAACACCAAGGCTGGCACCTAAATGACAACCATGAAGCATCGAGATCGCTTCCAAGCCCGATATGTCCTCAAGAGTCACTTTCAGCAAATTATCGAGATAAACCCGTGTTCGCTCTCCCTAGCTACACGGTAGATCAGCACCTTATGGAGCTCGAGGCGCCACACACGCTACTCCCTATAGCCTCTTCGGAAGACACTTCGCAGAAGTGGGATAAAGACTATCTCATCACCCCGATTACGACAGACACCGCTCGTCTAAACAGTTTGCCTAGACGTGGATATACGACCCTGCCTCCTATCAGCCGCCGACACCTTCCGATATCTATGAAGGAAATCAGAACGCACGAAAGTAACGAACCCTATATCCAGCACGGCGGCTCGAGGCGGTCGGTGCAGAAAGTCACCGGAAAGACATTAAGAATACAAAGCACAGGCTTAAGAAAGTCAACCGTCGTAGAGGTGAGTTATGGAAATAGTGGAGAGTCTATCGTGTTACGGTGCCATGCCTATAAGAGGTGGAAATAGCGAGGACAATACCGCGGTGGGTGGCTTGCGGTAGAGTTCAAGGTATTGCTCAAGACACTTCGCAACAAGTCTGACGAGCAGATATACGGTGTGCATGTCCATGCTCAATAGCGCTGGGGAAAATAGCTTGCTCTGACTTGTATGTGGCCGTGTTATTTATAAAAGGGATGGCATTACTTGATGGGTAGATTGCATAGGTCCAACAGCCAATCAAGCTTTCCTGCACGGTCAAATGCCCCTTGCCTGCTCGGCATGCTAATCCCACACTGCTCTAGTCAGATGTTTGTAGTCGAGACGACACAATCAGTCGTACTAGTGCTAGGAAAACGCATCAGAGGGCGACCATCCTACGGGGTGCTAACATAGCGTACGGCGACTACAGTCCTTTCCATTAATAGCATCACGACAGTAGACATGAAACTAAAAACAACCTAGCGACTACGATATATTGAAGCGAGGCTACTACATGCTAACTTGAGGACTCTCCAGAGAAGTCCCAACCCAATCCATTTCAGGCATCATAGGTTATGCTCATCCAGCAGAGCGGACGAGGAATCGTCTCTCAGAGCACACTATGCACCTGCGCGGTGAAAAGCAGTGCGGATAATGCAATCCATGACATGGACAGTCGGTGGGAACCTGAGGTACCAGGGGATCAGCGCCTGCAAGGGGATGCGTCTATCAAGACATGGTTATGGATAGACACAGGTGAAGCTAGCGGGACCCCAGCCTACGGAACTGTCTGCTAGTGTTAAGAGAAACGATCAGTATAGTCCTTTGCTATACTCTCAAAATTCCCCACGTGCTCGCGGCCTGCTAACTTAGAGCCCCATTTTCGACCATTTGCTGCCAGGAGATCAAGGTTGCCCACGCTCGCCACCCAATAGTGGCCGCCGCTGGCTACGAGGCAGACAGACAGGATGGGTAAGAAGGGCGTGCCAGCTCTGGCGAATCGCCCCGCCTCATCATTCGGGGGTGTCGAAGAATGGGCAGCATCCCTACTCAATCTGGTCATGCATAATATACCATCTTCGGCCTTTGTGGCCAGTTGGATTTGGAACTAGGCGAAGGGGTGTGTGCCTTGGGCAGTCAGCGCACCCCACACACGTGCTCCGCCTGCCTGGGATACTACGCCACGGCCGGACTTGGCCACGGCGTCCTGAGTCAAGGAGACCTGGGTTCGATCTGGCTGCCGATCTGGCACAGAGGGAGCCTTTGGAAAAATAACTAGGTCGCTAGCGGCGTCGTCAAGCCGACTCAAATTAAGCTTTTGGCTCGTGTGGCACGATTGGTGCGAACGGGAAGGTCGCCTTGTGGACAAAGCTTGGCAAGCCGAACGCTCGATCAGATACCTGCAGCGCTAGCGCACCCGCCTTGATCTATTACGGAGAACCAATGGCCCACACGCGTGTGTGCAAGCAACGAAGCTCAACAGGGGCCTCATGCAGCCTCCACACCCTCACAAAATTGGTGGCTGCCACACGGCGGGGTTAACAGTCAGTTGTGGCTGCGCACGGCAAGATCCTCCCACGGGCGATTACCCACAGCGATGGCGGAGCCATCACATCTCGTTTCTGGTCTTCTGTGGTGGTCAACTATGGCTGCCACGCTGGAAGGTCATCAATCATGGGTGGTCTGCCCCGAACAGGAGCACCCAGGTAAGCCCGTCATACCTACTCAGATCTAAGGGGTAGCCTTTTCTCATCATCCATTGTGGCTGCGTCACTGGACGCTTGGCGGTACCACTCGGCGCAATCGACGATCAATGTGTGGTACAGGAGGGTTTTCTTTGAGAGTGGGGAATATAGCGACACGCGGCACTTCGACGAGATACCAGCAGTGGTCCCTATCGAGGCCCATCCCCTCACCGCTTTCACTTTATACTGACCGCCTTGCTTGTTTCAATGGGCCTCCCCTCTTTGATTAAATCTATCCACAGCCTACTTATTCACCGCCTACTATTTTGAGGCGCCGTATGCGCCTCCCTCACTGGAGATTTTCACCGCCTGCCTGATACTCTTAGGGTGGCTGCGGTCTTCCCTGCTTGTCAAACATTCAGCGAGTGACGCGCTGAATGCATCCTACAGGTCAGGCTATCAGCCAAGCATCACTAGTGAATCTCCCTTTCGGTCAGTCAAATCTGGCACAGCAGGCCAGTTTCGAAGGCAAATGTTAGGGACAAATCCTGGGACGTAGGGCAAAACAATTGGCTACAAGAAAAATTCCTATCACATGGATGGCGACAGTCCTATTTGTGATTCTTGTCTTCCGAGTTTAGCTTCTCTGCGAGGAGAGGTGCGTTCAACCTGCGGCGGCCTGGTTGGTTGCATGAGGAAGGATACCATCTGGCTCGGGCATGGATTGCATGGGAACTCGATCGTTCTTTCTCAACAGTATCCCTAGTAATTGGGTTATAATAGACATGATCGCATTTCCAATTTCAGGAGAATCACCGATAATGATTCATCAACCTATTCAGCTCAGTCAGGTCCAGTCAATCCCGTGCTTCTGTTCATGATTGATTGGGCATGAGGGCAGGCGGTGACCAAGAGGGCAGGCGGTGACCAAGAGGGCAGGCGGTGACCAAGAGGGCAGGCGGTGACCAAGAGGGCAGGCGGTGACCAAGAGGGCAGGCGGTGACCAAGACAGCAGGCGGTGTCAAAGAGGACGTGAAATGCCCACCGGGACCAGACTGCCAGTGCTGCAGAGTACTCAGCCATTCATCATCAACAGACCAGCAATTCAGTCAGGCCACTATTACCATTTATGATCTGCGAACAACGCAGTTCATTTCACCAAGTTACAGACTTACGAAAGGTCTAAAGCCTCATCTCTAGTTCTTACCGGTTTTTGCTTAGCATATTCTATCCTGCCTCTGCGACAATCAAGCCGACAAACAATTACGGAACTGAGTGACTCTTGGTAACGTGGGGTTTCATTTTCATTTAGCATTTAGGTCGCTATGAGATAACAGGGACCTGCAGACATCAGACCACCTTTCGGCCTTTACTTTGAGTACTGAGCACGAACTGTAGGGCATCAACGCACCACATCTTCTCAGCAGCGCTTTTGCATGCTTGGACTAAATGCGCCGATTGCAGTATGCCATACAAATCGACATATGTTCGTATTGAGTCAGGATACAGTACCATGAATACGCAAGGCATGGTTCTGTAGATGCATCTTGTGTTTCAAACGCAGCCTACAGACCGGACATTGAATCGTAACATCGTCCCGGAAATTCCCAAGGTGGCGCCGGCGGAAATGCTTGGTCAAGTCGCTTGGACCATGGAACTCATGAATGAGTTCCGGGATTCGAGGGTCTTCAAGTGGTAAGAAGCGAGCCTTCCCAACACACCAAAAGCAGCGAGTTGGTCGCTGCTTCGAGTCTGAAACGAAAACAGAAAGCGTGGCAAGCTCCAACGCGCTGTGCGTTGCGGTATCTTGGGCCGGTGATTTTTTCGCTGCACCGCCGTTGCGTACTCGAGAGACAGGCCCCTCCTCCACAGTGCAGTATGCGATCAGAGCATGAATCGCTCTGTTCCTCCGTCTGTACTGGCCCTCAAGAGTAGGCTGTACTTCAGCTGTAAGCGCTTCCATCATTCTCTTTTGTGCAGGATGTTGAGGTTGAGTCGAAATGTCCTCTGGCACAGGAGCAAACCCTTCACCACGAAGTTGGCGTTCGATGTCCTCAACCGCCTGTTTATCGGTCCACCCTTCTCGAACATCCTGCAGCATAGCATTTGTCTTCCTCTGCTTTGCGTTGCGTAATTTTCGATGCGTATTTTTGTACAGTTCAGATCGTGGCTGCATCCTCTGTAGCCGGCGTCGCATCTTCACAATCTCTGGATCGTTCTCTATAGTTGAAACTTGCTCCGCTGTCAGCTTGGTAGGCCGGCGTTGACTTGTCGAATGCGCGATGCTGCACGACTGTGTGACAAGTGCTTGGTTAGGGTTTTCTCCGAGAACAATGGCAAATGTGTCGGCACATATTTCACGAGAAAGATAGTGTCTCTGGAATGGCACCGAATTAGTGTGGCCGAGAGACAAGTTGCGAAGTGAATCGCTAATGTTAGCTTTGAAAGTCAATTAGTGTCATTAGTAATATAAGGAAGGGGAAACCATACGGCTTTGATCGAGTTTGTTGCCTGTGAGGTAGCGCAGTGAGTACATGATCACATTGCATTCGATGCCCTGTATTTTTCCAAGGGCCACGATCCACGCTCGCATCATGGAATAGGTGATAGGTTTGTTTGCTGAAGTCGCGTAGCCATCTGGTGTCTTAGTAGCTTGGCGAAAAATGAAGACGTCGTCCAGCTCCCGTTTGAGAGGTAGTGGTAACTCATCCTCCTTGGGGTGAATGGTTAGCTGCTCAATGCCTTCCGGTTGGGTAAGACTTGGTGCTCGGAACGCTTCACAACGAAACAAGATTGCAAGTAAAAAGACATGTGTGCTGAGGAACAATGATCGATGGAAAATACCCTCGGGAACGGTGAAAGTGCATCTGTGATACTGTAAGCGTAGATGCGACCATAAGAACATCAGACTTACGACTCCTTGGCCCCTAGGTACGTTTTTGTGAATTCCGGGGTGAACTTTACTATGAGGTTATGGGGCCCTCCTTCCGGATCTCTTGCGAGAGTGACTTTGATATCCCCAAATCTGAGAAAAAGAATTGATGCCGGTCGAGAGCCCCCAGGGGCGAGGAGGAGAAGAAATAAGACGGCAAGGATGCGGAGCTCGCCAAGTTCGAATCGCTTTTTTGTCGTGCTCAGCGTGGTCTCGATCTGGGCTTTCAGGGTTTCGACGGTCATAAAACGGTTCCTTCTCCTCGTGGTTCGCAAATCGTATTTCTCCGTAAGTCGTTGCAGAACCTGCGAAGATTTAACGCACGAATATACGCTCCATTGCTAGGATAACATACCTCTGATATACCTTCGTAGATGCATGGCTTAAAGTTCTGTCCCGTCGCCACTTTGTACACAATTGACAAGAGCTTCCACCGTGTCTGAAGAGAGCCGCTCGTCTTTGTACCTCTTTTTAGTCTCCCATTTTTGCCAAGTTTTTGGCATATCGTCCATTCAAGGAAGTTTTCCACGATAGGGATGGAAATGGAATGGAAGGGATTTTCAGACTTCAGGACCTGGTCGTTGAATCTGCCAAGGAACGCTGTTAGGCCAACAAGGAAGAGGAATAATAAGAGATACGCACTGCTCCCACATAGCTTCAACCTCTCTAAGACGTAGTCTTGTTTTCTTGGCATAACGTTGGTACGTATCCCGTTGGACTGGGGTCAATATGCCTTGGCGATAGTACTCAGGTGGGTGTATATTGCCACCATGAAGTCCTTCCTCTCCATCGCCATCGAATCCGTCGTGTCCTGGATTCTCATATATGGTGTCGTCATCAGCTGAACACTCCTCTTCTTTTACGGAAAATATGGACTCCTCTTCATCGCTGAGCGAAGAAGAGAAGTTCCAGTCATCCATACTCGGGACGTTTTTGGAGGAGCTCTTGAACGGCGTGGGTTGGCTGAATGTTACGGCAAGAAAGTAGAAATGGTACGACTTGTCTTGGTATGTAGTCAATAAGTCTGTGAGCGCAGTTGAAGTGCGAGCACCGTACTTTTAAGGTGAGCATGGGAGTCATTTTTGAGCGCTCAGGCAGTGGATGTGACCAGGGGTCAAGCAAGCGAAGAAGGCCCATGAGATCGATCGAGGCGAGTTGGGCCCACAGCCTGCGACAGTACGTTGTTGCTCGGTACGGGCGGGTACTTGAGCGCGGCGTAAAGACCATGTCGCAGGCGAGGACCCTTAAAGCAGCGCTGGATTCCTGGCTCGTGCGCCGCCGGGTTCGGTGGCCAAACCTGCCATTTCCGGCGGCCCAAAAGCCGTCTGATTTTTTAAAGGAGTATTATTTATATATAGCTCCCTTCGTTATTTTATTAAAGTATCTAGCCCTTAGCTTTTAGTATTTCGGTATTATAGTTTAATTAGCGGTTAAGTATATTTACTTTATTATTTTCTAATCTTTTCCGATAGATAATCTTAATATTATATTCGGCTAGGAATTTAATATATTATACTTATCGCGAGCTAAGTTCTTATATCGTAGCGAAGTAAGAAATATTTTAGTAATCGGTATAAACTTTAGTTTTAAACTTTATCCTTAGTATATAATATTTAAATTCCTTAATAACGGCGATAATTACTAAGAATTCCTTATCGTAAATAAGATAGTTTAGTTCTATGCTATAGAGTTTTTTTAAGAAAAAAGTAATTAAGCGTAAATTATTATTATTATCTTATTAGCTAATCTATACTCTTATAGTATAATCCGATATATTTATTTCTAACTTAAGTAGCCTTTCGGGGTCGTAAGTTATAAGTATAATATTAAATATTATATTATCTTATAATATCTTAAAAACTTTTTTTTATTTTTTTTTAAAATAAAATTCTTTCTTATTTTTTATAAATTCTATAAGTAATACTATAATTTTCGCGAAATCGTGTATAAAGTATTAATAATAGTTTACGAATCCTATAAATATTTATACTTCCTTAAGATTATTTTCTAATAAAGGCTATTCTTTAACTATATTAATCTTTACTTATTTTATTAAGATTTCGTTTAGTTAAATTATATATCCGAGGAAAATAATTTCTTATATATAAAATATATATTTCTTTAGATTAATTAAGAGGTTTATATCTTAAAGTATTTTTAGTACTTAATAAATATATTTCTTATATTCTTTAAGGTTCTTTAAGAAAATTAAAATATTATCTAAATATACTATAATAAAGATATCTAAGTACTCCCTAAGTATATTATTAATTATTCGTTAGAAAGTAACTAGAGTATTAGTAAGGCTAAATAATATTATTAAATACTTAAATAAATCGAACTTAATACGGAAAGTTATTTTTTATTTATCTCCTTTCTTTATATAAATTAAGTTATAAGCTTTTTTTAAGTTAAGAGCGGTAAATTAATTCTTATTATAAAGTCTATCCTTAAGCTTATTAATAAATAATAAGGGTATCCTATCTTTAATTATAATATCGTTAAGCTATTAATAGTCTATAATTAATTATAGCTTCTTATTTTTCTTTAGTACGAATATAACGGAATATCTTATTTCTAAAGTAAAGGTTCGGATATAGCCTTTCTTAAGTATTTCGTCGATATATTCTCGTAATATCTTAAGTTACTTTTAGTTAAGGTTATAGAGTTTATAGAACTTAGTTAAGGTCTTAGTTTTAAGATAGATTTCGTAATCTTATTAATTATATTAAGGGATACTTATTTTAAGGGTTTCTTTAAATAACTTACTATATTTATAGTATTCTAAAAGTATATTCTTTATTCGTTCTTTTTCTATCGTAAGTTTTTTTTTCTTTTTTTTTATAGGGCTTAATTCGCTTTAAATATTTTTTATATAATATTAGCGATAATTCGTTTTCCTTACTTATATTATATACCTAGTTATAAGGCCTTCTTAATTAATACTATAGCTTTTACCTCCTTCGGCTCGCTTATATCTTATTATAAAGATTCTTTAGAGGCTAAGTTATCGCGAATATTCGCTTTTTTCTAGCTAAATAATAATTATCGCGTTATTATATTTATCTACGCTAACTAGCTAATACGCTAATCGATTATTAAATTACTCCTCGTTAACTATAAATAACTTAGTATTATATTATATTTATATAAGTCTATAATATCGAAGATAATTATTTTATAGTATCTTTATATCGTTATATCGAGATAATCGGTCTCGCGGTCGATAGTTTTATTATTATAATTAAAGCTTTATTTTTTAATATTAAAAAACTTATATAATCGAGTTTTATAATTCTATAGTAACGTATATTAATTAATTATTATTAATAAGATATAGTTTCTTATTACCTTATTATTTAATAATACTTATAAGTAATATTTATTAATTTAGACTTCTAAAATTATTTTTTATCCTTTATTTATCTTTATAGAATAAAGGGTCTTTAGGTTTTCTTTATTATTTTATACCTTTTTTATAAGCGATATTAATAATTTTTTAATAAGTAATATTCTATATCGATCTTATTATTCTTAGGGTCGTATATATAGTTACTATCGTACGACTCTAGGTATATCGAGGGGTATTAACTTCTTTCTTCCTTATATAAGTAATATATATACCCGTAGTAATAGACTCTATAGTCTAGCGTATATCTTTTATAATACTTATATATAATATACTATATATATACTTTTCCTCGCGGAATAAGGTATTCTTATACCTTAATCCTATATTATAAATATAGCGTCTTTTTCGCTCTCTTATACCTTTCGCGGTTTATCTTACCTTAGTTAATATAATCTTAGTCCGCTTATTCGGTAAAGTCGAATAATAATCTTATACCGTTAAGGTACTTATTATATTTCTTATATCCTTACTTATATTATAAAGCGTATTCTTTATTCTTAATTATCTTAATATTAAATAATATCTTTATTACTATCTCGTATCGTTAGAGTTTTTCTATCTCTTTTTATTCCCTAGTCCTATATTAATTAAATACTTTTATTTTAGCGTATCGTAGATAGTTTATTAATTAATATTTATGCTATATCTTTTAGTCTTATATATATACTTTAGGGTATTTTATTAACTACCTTAGTATTATATATCTTATATTAGGTTTTATATATATATACTTATAAAACTCCGCTTTATATTTTTTATATAAGTTATTAATAATATAGGTAGCTAATCCCTTAACTAAATAAACTTAATACCTTCCTTTATTAAGTATATAGACTTTATAAAAATAATATATATAAGAAACTTATAAGAGTTCGTAATATTTTAATATATTTAAGTATATACGCGGGTTATCTCCTAAGACTATCCTTTAGTTTATTACTTAATTAATTCCTTTATTTAGCGCTTAAGCGGGGATAATTATTTAAAGGTCTCCCCTTTATAATAAAGGGTCGTATCGATCTATCGCTACTTTTATTTATTCTTATAAAGTTACTCGTCTATATAATAAGTTAGTCTTAAGTATTTATTTCTTTTATAAGAGCTCTTTATCGCTATTTATAGAGTTAGTATTAGATAATTCTTTATTTATATTATCTAGGTATTTCCTTAGTTTTATAGCGACCTTATATATTATAGCTAGAGCGCGAGACCCGCGTAATACCTTAAGGAACTATCCTAAGTTTTCCTTACTATCCTAATAAGTTAAGTAATTATTATCGTAATATCCTAACTTATTACGACCCGATATATAACTATATACGCTTCTTATATACCCCTTACTTTTTTCCTCTTATTATATATTACCTATATATTACGTAAGATAGATAACTATAAGCGATTAGCGATTATAGTTAATTATATTATAAAGGCGCTCGTAGATAATAATCGATTATCGTTAACTATATAATATTTACTTAATATATAAGAAGCCTAGCTTTATTATAATTAGTCTTTATTAGCTCCTTAGCTATTAATATAATTATTTATATAAGATTTACTATCTCGTATATAGACTATAACCTAACCGCTTAAGTTAACGATATCTTAGTATACTTAGTTTATAAACTAACCTTAGATTTACTTACCCTATAGCTAGTCTAACCTAAATATTATATATTAATAGCTTTTATTTAATATATTACTATATTAAGTACTTAAGTAATATAATACTATAGCTAATAAATCCTTTAAGATAGCCCTTAAGTCCGCCGATAAGGGTAAGGCTATAGCTAAGTATACTAAGCCTTTTTATATAGCTTAGTTTATAGACTTAGACTTAAATAAGTCCGATAATAAAGATACGAAGATCCTTAAGGGATAAATCTAAGAGTTATAAGGGTAGCTATAATAAATTATTAATATATAGACCCGCGATAAATAATAATATAATAAAGCCTATTATTTTTTTAATAAAAGAATAACCTTATAATATTAGTAAGCCGCCTAACTAAGGAACGAGATAAATAATATAAATAATAATATTATTCGATAGGCTACCGGTAAGGATCTAAGAGAAATTATAAAGCTACGCTAACTAAGACTATTCGATAGTATAACTAAAGACTTTTAAGGATTCCTAACTTAGGTTAAAGCTTATTAATAATATTTCTTATCTATCCTTTATATAAAAGAAAATAAAATACGCTATATAATAGGATACTTATTAAGAGTTACTTTAGTATAATTCGAACTTACTCTTAAGGACTTTATAATTAATATTTATCAATACCGAAGATAGGAGATAAAAGATATCTTTATATATTATAATAACTTTAAAGAAATATTAAAAGCGACCTTTAGGATTATCGATAAAGAATACCTAGCCGAGAACTAACTAAAGGTATTAAAATAAAAAAGGTTAGCCTTAGATTATAGCGCTTTATTTACTTAAATCACGTCTAGGATTACTAAGAGCGAAGGAGATAAGATAGTTTTTTTTTACTAAGG